CCCGAAAGTGAAAGCTGCGCTGTGGGGTGAGGGATCCCTCCCTGCCCGGGCTGACGGGACAGCGGGATCCGCTCGGGGCCGCTCCCGAATCTCTGGCGCTCTCCGGAACCCGCGCCGGGCTCGGCCGCTGTTTAACCCTTCTCTCGGGCTGCCTCGGCCCCCGCGCTGAGCGTGTGTGGGCAAAAGCTAAACTTTTCGGCGCTGGTGTAAAGGAGCAGCCCCAGAGCACTCCCGGCCCTTCCCGGAGCCCTCTGAGCGCTGCGGGGAGCGCTGGAAACAAACCAACCCCCCGAAAGGTGCAGGAGCGTCTGGAGCTCCTTACCCAAGGAGCAGAGCGGGGCTGAAGCACGGGACTGCAGTCTTTATCCCCACTGTGTTTCTTGCTTTTGTGGAAATTTCCTCTTCTTTCCAGGAACTTCTCCCTACTGCTTACTAGACACTCCTGCATGCTTTTCCAGAATATTGCCTGTTGTTTTCCAGAAAATTTCCCACTTCCTGAAGAATCCCCCATTGCTTTCCAGGCAATTTCCCAGGCAAGTTGCAGACTATTTCCTCCTTGCTTCCTGGGAAATGTCCTTATTGCTCTCTAATCCTCCACTGCTTTCTAGGACTTTTCCCTCTGCTTAGAGGACCTACATTGCTCTCTTAGGAAATTTCCTCATTACTATTGTTCCCTGAGAAGCAAGAAGTTATTTCCCAAGAACTACCATTCTTCCTCTCCAGGCAATTCCCCTTTTGCTTTCCATCCACTCCACCTTTGCTTTCTGGGAGACTTCCCCACTAGGAAATATCACTGTTACTTTCTTAAGAAATGTCACTTCTGTTTTTCAGGAATTTCCCTGGTATTTGAGGAAATTTTCTCCCTGTTTTGTCAGAATTTTCCTCCTTTTATTACTAGGCTATCCCCCCTGTAGCCTTCTAGAAAGCTTCTAGAAAGTTCCCCCATTGCTTTCTACAAATTCCCAGAATATTTCCCCCTTTGCTTTCAAGGACTTTACCCTAGTGATCTCAAGGAAATTCCTACATTGCCTTGCAGTAAATTTCCCCTTCGTAACTTTGTAGGATGGTTGCTTTCCAGGAATTCCCCTAGTGGTTGCCAGGAATTTCCCACCTGCATTGTGGGACTTTTTTCCCAGTGTTTTAGGAAATTTCCTCTTTGTGTCCCAGGAAATTCCACCAGCCAAACCTGACCCACACACCTGAACCCATGAAAGGGGCATAGGGCAGCTCCACCAAAATGTGTTGAAGGGCAGTAAACACCACAAAACCCAAACTAAACTGGAGCCACAAGAGCCAAGGTGTGGGCAGAAGCATGGGACAGGGCTGACATGGGCAAGGTACAGCTGGAAAGGGCCTGGGGTGGCTGCAGGACCCTATGCCAGAGGGACCAGGTAGGACAAACAAGTTGTGCTGGTTAATGGCTTCTGCCCCAGATTCAAGTGGCACCTGCAGGAAGGGGAGCAGAGGTGTGTTTACTTCCATTCCTCAATACTGCAATCCATGCCAAGAGTTTCAGTTAATAGGTGATTAAATTGATGGGAATTTTGCCATTTTAAACTCCATTATTTTTGCAAGCAGGACCCTGCCTGCCTGGGAAATTCCTGCACAGCCACAGTCACTATCCCCTGCCACCTCCCCAGGCCCTCCTGACTCAGGGACACGTTCAGCAAGGTAAAAATCAGCCCCATTTAGGTCATCAGCTACAACGCGGTGGAAGAGCTCGAGATTGTAGAACTGACTCTTCCTCTTGAAAAGAGGTTTTTAAAAGCATCCCAAAGGACAAGGAGACCTCTCGTTGAACCTCAGCCCTTCACCAAAATCTTCCTCAGAACCAAACCCCACAATACAAACCTCACCCCACACACAGCCCTGCACAGCCCCAAGTCACCCAGCTTCAGGGGACAATCCCTGCAGGCAGAAGGGCAAGCTGGAACCCCACCACTTTTATCATCAAAGCCTCTTTTTGGGACCTTCCCTGTGAATCACAAAGCAGCAAGGAATGGGGCACCTTAAAAAACTAAATAAATAAACCTTTCTCTTTTAATCCACCCAAGGGAAATCCAGAGCAGCATCACAGCACTACACACAGCACAGACATCTATCACCATCTTTGCACAGATTCCTTCCCAGTTACATGAGAAGTCATTGAGAAAGAAAAAAACAACACAAATGCAAAGTGACAAGTAACAAATCAGCCACAGAACAACTTGGTTTTTTGAGGAGAAAAAGGATGTGTCAAGGAAGAAGGCCCTGAACACGCAGGTTTTACAAAAACCCAACCCAAGAACGTTGAAACAGAGGTGGTTTGCTTTCAAACATTAAAAACAGGGAATTTTTAATTAATTTAAATACACATTTGAAACACAAACACCAAGCAAGCGCCTGGAGAACAAAGCAAAAAAGAAGGAGGAATGAAAAGTGAATTCGACCAGTTTAATTTCAACACCAAAGTCGGGTGGATTGCACCAAATGGAATAAATAACAGAGAAGATCACACTGGGTTGGTAATCTCACGCTTAAGATCATTTAAACTAGAATTAATTACACAGCCCAAATGAGTACTGAACGGGGAAGTCCTCTGACAAGTGATATTAGCTGGGGCAGTGTCCCTTTGACAGAGTGGGTTATAGGTGTGGATTTGCCCCCTGCCACCCAACAACAACCACCACCCCAGAAGCAAACGGGATGAGGAGTTTCTGTGCTCCAGAGGCTTCACCCCTGCAAGTGATGTACACGCGAACAGCTCCTCGCTCAGGGTGCAGGAACCTTCCACCTCTTCAACACTGTCTGGCTCCAAACACACCCAAGTCAAACATCAAAGCACAACCAGACCTTGTGCTCTCACCCTGCAAGGTGAGCACACAGGCAGAGCATTTCCAGTGCAGCTCCCTGAGGTTGGGCACTGCAGGTGCCTCCTCATACACACCTGGGGTCAGGCTGAAGAAAAGTTAGATCAGCTAATCTACACCTGCAGCCACCACTTTATCACCCTGGGCTGGGCAGGTTGAAGGAATGTAAGTGGTTTCTCGTTCGGTTTTCCCTCCCCATAATCCCCACATTAAAATAAAAACAACCAAAAAAACCCCACCCAAAAACCAGCCCCGAACAAAAATAACTTGATCCCGAGTTCCTCTCCCTCCCCTGCCTGTTGCCAAGCAGGGAAGCACCTTTGGACATTCATGTGATCCCACAGACATGTTCCCTACAGAGCAGACATGATAACTCTGCACCTCACCCAGATGTGCCTGTGACACCTAGTTAGGAGGGACATCCCTTTGCTTTAAAACAAAAATAATTACAAAATCAACAGTAACAATCAGCATTCATTTAAGTCCAACTCGTTTGGGAGAAGGGAGGAGTGAAGGTTTCCAGGCCAAGGAACTTGCCAGACTCAGCATCCCCCCCCCAGGGCTTCCAGCAGCAATGAGACCCCTTTGTGCAGCTCCTGCTCTCAACCCGAGGTCAGCAGAGCTGAGGAGGTGCTGAGGGGACACAGCTGCCCCTCCAGCTCCTCCTCAGCTGGCAACTCCAGGAAGAAAGAGGGAAACTGGCACAGATGAGGGTTCAAGATATTTCTTTCCCATCTCTCTTCATCCCCCAGGCTGAGAGGAGACCTCTGGTTCTGCAAGCCCAGTCTGTGCTTACTAGTGTCCTTGCGAGTGACAATTTAAAAACAAAAAAAAAAGGGAAATTAAAATTAAAAAAAAGAAGAGGAAAAAAAAAGATATGTCTAATTAGGTATTGTCCGTGGAAGGAGCAGGAGGGGGCAGGTTCCAGGCCGAGACAGAGAAGGGACTGTCCCTCTCGGTGTTTGCTCATCTGGAGACCATGTCCCTTGGGCGTCCCTGCGCGAACTCTTTGTGCTGTTGCTCTGACATCGACCGACACAGATGACGAAGAGGGGGATGGATCCAGCAGAGGGCGAGGGCAGGCGCGGGCGCCGGGGCTAGGCTCGGTGCTTGGGGAGCATGTCCAGCAGGAACTCCGCGATGCCGATGAAGTAGACAACTTGTGCAATGCCGAAGAGAGGAGCGATGACCAGGGCTCGGCAGTACGCCCCTTTGAAGAAGGCTGTGGGCCCTTCCTTCTGCCAGATCTTCCTGGAGAGAAATGGCACAGACAGGTGAGTGCCATCCCATCCCTGCACCATGCCAGGAGAGCCCTGGCCATGCCCTGCCTTTCTGACTCCCTCCAGAGGCTAAACCCAGGCAAGTGCTGTCACCTGGCACTGCCTCCACAGCAGATCACCCACCACTCCCCACATGCTCTGCAAACAGCCATCAGATGCCTCATCCCTATGCCTGGCCAGAAGCAGGAGTGTCTGTCTGTGTCTGGAAGTACAGCTAAGACAATGCCATGCTTACATCAAGAGGTCCCCTCTGTTCTAAAGGTTGTTTCAGCTCCACCCTCAGCATGGGACACAGCTAGGTGGCAACAAAGTCTGGCTACAACAGAAATATAGAAGTAGAAAAAGTCCCTCCATGTTTTGAAGCAGCCAGACAACAGTTTAGCAAAGGATCAAAGGAGAGTGCAGCTGGGGACAGCCCACTCTGGCAGCACTCCTGCAGATGCTGTGCAGAGCAGTCCCAGGAGGGATATGAGACTTGATACTGTAGAATTTTCAAACAGGGCCTTGGGAGAGACTACCACAGCACTGCCTCCCTTTGCAGAAGCAAAATCTCAGGGTTATGACTACTGGGGTTTGGATGGAAGTATTTAAATATAAATGCTATGTTTGCCTTGCTCAGTAGAGGAAGAAGTTTTCTTTCATATAACTATAGATGTATATAGGGTCATGTATCTCTATGTGTCTGTGCTGGATATTGCTAGGCAACA